AAAAAAAAAAAAAAAAAGACCCCAAGTTTCACTGCTTTCACATTCCTCCAAGACAAAGCTCCAGTGCACAGGATCTGATGTAACTTCACTCTGTTGCCGTAATTCATGATTGCTGCATTGCAGCAAAGTTGCACAATCACAACTTCCCAGTGTTCCCTTTGATTTTAAGCTCAACCTCGACCCAAACCCCCTCTAGAGACTGCAGGGCTCTCCACAAACTTAAACTGAGACAGTATTGTTAGTGACTAAAGATAAAGCCTTTATTTATGCATCAAACCACATCCTGACAGCTGTGTATTATCCCTAACTATGTCCTCCTGTCACTTTCCTTCCATTGTTAACTTTGCTCTTTCTTCGTCTTTTTGTTTCCTCGATGCAGTCCAGCGAGGTGCTCAGCACTCAGCTCTCCACCCTGGAGTCCGAGAAAGCCGAGCTCGTGCAGACCTTGTTGAAGGTGGAGGCAGAGCTGGCGGTGCGGGGGGAGGAGCTTGAGCAAGTCCAGAGCTCGCTGGCGACGGAGAGGGAGAGCGGGGTGAAGACGGCGGAGGCCCTGCAGAATCAGCTCAATGAGAAGGTGAAGAATTGTCTTTGTTAAATTATCTTTCTTAATTAACTCTCTTAATTAGCTGCAATAAATCAGGCAGCTGTTTAAGTGAGAGAACCACAGAGAACCATTGTGGCCACTGATGATTTTAATATTAATATTTAGACCCTCAATCATTTCTAGCATAGAGTTTTAACCCTGTATGTGTTTGTGTCCACAGGAGAGCAGGGAGCAGGCGTTGGAGAGCCAGCTGGTGGCGGCTCGGTGGTCTAGCCTGCAAGGAGCCGTGGAGGAGGCCGAGAAGATCATCCAGGACTCGCTGGCTCAGATCGACGACCCGGCACACATCAGCTGCACCAGCTCCGCAGGTCGGACGCCAAGATTTTCATTCCATAAAATGCAGCGCAGTGTTATGGTGCTAATTAGAGCCGTGTGTTGTAATGGTTGTGCTCTCGGTCTCTGCAGACTACCTGGCATCCAGATGTCAAGCCTCTTTAGACTGTGTGGAACGATTACATTCTGCCAGAGATGCCTTCTTGGCTGACAACACAGGTGAGAGACTCTTTAAATGCCAAAACAGGAACAACTGCGGACTTGTTGTTCAGTGTAAATTAACAATGAGATGATGCTATGAAAGTAAACTCAATTCTAACCTCTTTCGTTATCATTCCTTTACGTATTAATCATCTGCGAGTGACCAATTGTCTCTATATTGGCTCATTTTCAGAGAAATAAAATGCTTCTGTCAGTAACATGAGACGTTACTAAGATCTGAGATAGGTGCTTGAGGCCTACTTATGCACTCAGAAGGGGCTACTTGGCCATCTTATGAGACGTACACTGAGTTCAAAGTAATTCTAGAGGGATGCCTTTACATCTTTTGGATGCTGTTTTGTTTTTACAGAAGAAGAAGTAGGACTTATTGTTTCATACACAGTATGGAAACACTACCATAAGGAGCTGGAAAGTAGTTTTGTGTTCACTTTTATATTTTAGATAAGCTGTTCTTTTGAGGAGAGAAAGAGATTCTGGACAGATTTCCTCTCTCTCCATTGCAATGAAATAAATGTTCAAGTTTAACAGATTTAACAGCAGTTTTGTACGACAATATTATTCCATCTCAAATCATCAGGGTCCGAAAATGAACAATATGAACCTATTGTAAACACGTGTTTTCTTAGTTTTATGTGGAGAACCATTTTGAAACTCCAGACATTTGTTCTACTTTGAAAAAAAAGTTTTCTTTTTTTGTGACAAAGTATTTCGTATTAAAAAGTATGACAATATCACAAGTTGTACTTCTGCATTATCCATTTCTTTGTTGATTTGATTTAAATAATAGGACTTTGAACCATTTCTGAGTAAATCTCATGCTGAGGTTTTAAGAGGCTGCTGAATAGTTAAGGAACCTTCATAAGGAATTTTTTTTTGACTGCTCTGTTGATTTATTCTGTGCAGGTGTGTCTGACTTAGTGCGAATGGTGACCCAGTGTGGCCACCTGGTGGGCGACACCATCGTTCAAGGCAGTGCGACCTCCCACATGGTGCCTGTGGAGCAGGCTGATGGTAAGTCTGTGTTTGTAGACTGTAGTCTGAGTCCGTGTGTCTCCTGATTTTAATCTGTGGGTGCGTCACTCTGCTCACACATGTCCTGACATGTCTGTGAGAACTACTCTGAATGTGTTCAGTAAGGTTGGGCAGTGTAAGTTAGAAGTGCTGTCTCTGTAATTTACTTTTAATTTTTTGTATTATTATAAAGTAATATTCAGATGAGTCTGTTATGATACCTTGCATCAGTCTGTACAGGACCCCAGTGCAGCTAAACAGTTGTATTGGTTGCACTGGTCTGCCTGATATTTACAAGTCTGTCTGTGTCTTTTCAAACTAACACATTTCTGCTCACACACCTGTCTGAGTTGAATGTGCTTCAGTAACTGAGCGGAGACTCGAAGCTTCTCTGTGCACAGCTGCCTAGTCATGTCTAGAGATGCTCATGAGGCATTTAGGGGACATCTGTTCAAATTCAGTAAACAAACTTGGTTACACTCTCCTCTCTGCATGCACATTGGAAACGCTGCACCACCAGTAAATTCTCAGCTTGTAGCCAACTAGATGCGTTGCATTTATTGCTGTGACATTTGTGTATTCAGAGTCAGAAACGCTAGTATATTTTACCACTGCCTATAATATGGCAAAAGAAGGCCAAACCTCTACTAACTTTAAGTTCTAGGTGAAACAAAGCATTTATCTGCAACTTTTTTTTATGCATGTTAAGAAATGCTTATGAGAACTAACAAAAATGATAGCATTTATAATGTTTTATCTTGCAAAAAGATGTAGCGAAAACTTCTGGGTGCATTTAAATGATGTGCTAAATGGAAAAGTTTGATGCACCAGTGCACCCAATATACAAAGTTAGTGTGCAACCCTGATAAATAATCTGCCACAGCGTTCACATTGCAACCAGAAATAGCTCTTTAGTCGTGTTTTAATGCACAACGTCAGCCAACACAAGCACAGATGAAACAAAATCGCTGACTTCATACAGAAGTAATGTTTTTTTTTTTTTCTTTGCTCTCATGGGAGATGCCAAGTCTAAACATGCCCAAATATAACGGAGTTCTGGCCAGCGGTCATGTTATTGGAACAAAGAAAACAAACACATGGGACCGAAAGTGGGTCGAGCCATCGTCTGTAGCTGTCAGACTGAGGATCAATGGAGGGCACTTTGCTGTGACAGTGTTTGTCCATACATGGTTCAAAACACTTGAACGCAGCATTTGAGAGCTTGTGTACAGTTTGATGCAAATCAGCTTAAAAAAAAAAAAGAAATAGGCCGACAGATTTAGTTTCCCCACTTCCTCCCGTCAGAGTGGCTGTTTGAGCTGCTGGTTGACACTTTGCCTGAAGGGACGTTGGTTTAATTAACAGTGCAGCTGCAGCCACTAGTGGCACCGTCACACGTCAGAGTTCGCAGAAGGTGTTTTCATAGATGACATGTCGATATCATATCATCTCGATCGCTTTAAAATATATGTATCTGTGCTTTTCTTTCTGTGTTTGTGTATTTTAATGCCACTTATTTTGGTAATGACACATCCATCCTCTGTCCATGTCCTTGTCAGCGCTGTCAGAGAGCGTGAAGGCGTGCGGCGCTGAAGCTCTGGCTCTGCTGGGACACATGAAGCAGCAGGACAGCCTGGCTGCAGTGGATGACGGCAAGCTGAAGGCAGCTCTGGAGGCCATCCTGGCCACCGCAGAGGTCTGTACTCCATCGTGTTTGTACTCTGATGCTGTGAACTGCGGTGCTGAGACATATGAGTCACTGTGTCCCCAGAGCTGCTGTTTTTTTTAATCTTGCACACTCTTTGAAATTTGTGCGATTTGCCTCGCAATGACCATTTCTGCTGTAACATCTGACGTCAGTCTCTCTTCCTGTCTTGTTTTCGCTCCTTTGAGTTGAATTTGCTCCTTTGCTGTTGCAGAAACTGCGTCCTCGGGGTCTGGAGCTGCAACAGGGAGAGCTGGGAGATCTGGTGGAGCAGGAGATGGCTGCCACTTCCGCTGCTGTGGAATCAGCCGCTGCTAGGATAGAGGTACGTGTGGCAGCAGATGTGTATTTAAAAGTGCTTTGTGCAGCTATTTGTGTGCTGTTTTAACTTCAAAGTGTCGTTCTTTTTCCTCCCTTGTGCCTCTGTGTATCCCAACAGGAAATGCTCAACAAGTCTCGGGCAGTTGATACAGGAATCAAGATGGAGGTCAACGAGAGGTAAAACTCAGGGACCAGTTTTGGACACCACAGGGACAGCAGAAACTGAATTACTCTTTTTTTTTTCTTTCACTTCAGTTTTAGATATTGTGGCGTCAGAAACATGATTGACTGTCTCTGTCACTGTGAATACACAGGGTCAGATGTCTTCCTGACAAACAAATAGTTAAAAAAAAATCTTGTATCTGAAGAACTTCAGAGAAAGACAGCAAGAAGATTTGAACTAGATCTACCCTCATTACGCTCACCTCATTTTCCCAAAATAGAAATAGAGTTGACCCACAAACAAACTTTTCTACTTTCTTTGGCTTCCCCTTGGTTTCTCTCTCCTCCATTGTAGCAAGTTCTATTAAGTTTAACCCTCTGAATTCCAAACGACATGTTCGACAGCATGAGGAAAGGCATGTTGTCTTTAAAAATGGCCAAAATCACATTTGTCAAAGCTGTGAAAACAGACGGCATCTTTTGGTTTTCACCTTTCAGGAGACCATTTAGCTATTCATCTATGGCATAAAATTTCATTGGAAGACATAATAAAATCTGAACTTGCAATTTTGATGTTTAATTCAAATCTCTTTATTCCACATCCTGTTTTAAACAGATTCTGTAAAAAAAACTAAAAATTCTGTGCACCTCAATGCAACTGTGATGTCAATGGAAACTCAGCTGGACAAACGCGCACGTGACAAAAATTCAGAGGCTTTTCAGCTGAACTGCAGACTGTGTTTAAAAAGAACAGATAGGAGATAAGTATGGAAACAAATAAAAAAAGTAAAATATCTACAGTATGGCTGTCGTAGTAGTATCAGTAATAGTATCTATAGTAGTATCACATATTAGTAAAACCTGCGGACACATGGAAAAATGTTTCACGTTTCCAGGTTTTTACATTTTTGTTAAAAAAAATAAATAAATCAAAGATTTGTAACTTGCACTTTTTCTCGTTTTTATGATTTGTGTCATTATAACTTGTGATACAGCACAGAACAAATTTGGAGTTCCCTCTTCTTCTAGCCATGGTTGTTCTGTTTCCATAGAGGTGCGTGACTTTATATTGCAGCGAAAAATTAGCACACAGTGAATAAAAATGTGACAAGAGTCAAAAACAGCTGGGATTCACAGAAGGTTAAAGAAGAAAGCATAAAACAGGAAAACCAGAACGATCGCTGCCCAAAACTCAGAAAAACAACCACCACCTCTGCAATAAAGGAGAAATGAAAGTGGCTGAACAAATATTCCTCCAAGATTGAGGCGCTAATTCACCCATTACGAATACATAATGCAGCGAGCAGAACCTCCGATTGCTTGTTTGTGAATTTAATGTAGTAGATGCAAACAAAGGCAGCGAACTGAAATAGAGACTCTGTTCAACAAGGCGAGAGCAGCAGCCAGTTGCAGACAGTCACGCACTGAGTGCTGATGTGCAAAGAATTTCATCAATTCGACCACAAAGCCTGTGCAAACTGTGAAGTCTGAAGCCAGTGTGACACGTAATGTTTGTCTGCGCAACCCTTTTGTCGCTTCTTTTTCCCATTGGCGCGGCTCCACAAACTGTTGCACTCAATGGGTTCATTTATGTGCTGCTGTTAACAGCTGCAAGAAGTTTGGAAATCTCTTTTTGGACGGAAGCTTTTGCTCTCTGCTCCAAACTCAACCATCACAATGATCTGCTGCAAGTCTTCAGTGTACAATCCAAGACGGCAGGAGTAGTATTTTACAGTATATGCAGTCAGTGTTTAGTCATGAATTTTTCCCATTTTTAAATTCTAAAAAAAGAGAGTATGGTGTGTCCTTCTTTCAATCTGTGTATTAATTCTCTTTGACTGTTAAGAGACTTAATTATTCAGGTTAAAACAAAGTTGTTTTGTCAGTAACTGCCCCGCCACTGCTGTAGGAGATAATTATTAAAAGAAACAAACTGCAGCCTCCAGTACTACACTGAGAATGTAGGTCAGTGGTGCATCAGTCATGCACTAGCAGGAGGGAACTAGTTGTTGTTTCTTTGTATCTTGAGCGTCATCTTTTAAAGTGATTATGTTGTTTTTTTTAGCTACACATCTCACAGTGTGAGCAGATCAGACTAGGGCAAGCGGCGTTCAGGATATCTGCTGACACAACCCTAACGTGATGTTTAGCTTCCTGTTGATTGGAGGTATTGGTGTTACATCAGTGGCAGTGTGTCAGCGTCGGTGTCCTCTGCTCTGTCGCCCCCTGCAGGATCTTGGCCTCCTGCACAGAGCTGATGCAGGCGATCAAGGAGCTCATTCTGTCTTCCAAAGATCTGCAAAGGGACATCGTGGAGAGTGGCAGGGTGAGCTTTTATGTTTGTTGCTTTTCAAACAGTGAGAAGGAAGAAATCTGAGTAAAATTAGTGACAGAGTCACCAAGATGTTGGATCAACAGCAAAGTTTCTGTAATTTATCCAGACTGTCACACTAAACAATTAACTGATTATACAAGAAAACAATTGGCAAGTTGTTTGGTGATGGAAATAATTATCAATTGCAAACTCCTGTGTTTATACCTGAGTTTACAAAGTGTGTCATGAAACATTTTATCCACCAGGGGGCAGCCACCATGAAGGAATTTTACGCCAAGAACTCCCGCTGGACCGAAGGCCTGATCTCTGCCTCTAAAGCAGTGGGATGGGGCGCCACAGTCATGGTGTAAGTATAAAAGTGCTTACGTTCATGAAGTCAGCGGTGGAAAAGTGTAATGCGAGCAGCTGTGCTTACTCTGTGAATCGTAAATGTCCTGAAGAACCAAAGAGTTGACCTTTACGAGGAAATAAATAAAGAACAAACAAAACGCTAAGTCTTGAGGCGCCTAAGGTCACTCATAAATCTTGTGTTTCTCGCCGCGTCTTCAACAACATGGTCTTCAATCTCAGCATTTTAAAAAAAAAACTGAGTTTATTTTGTGCTGTGTTGTTGTTCCAGAGATGCTGCTGACCTGGTGGTGCAGGGCAAAGGGAAGTTTGAGGAGCTGATGGTGTGTTCACATGAAATAGCTGCCAGCACTGCACAGCTAGTGGCTGCTTCCAAGGTGAGCAAATAACACATTGTTTTAACACCAGTGGTACAGTACAGTTTTTGGAATCTTACAGGGGGTGTGTACACTTTTTAAGTCTAGTACAAGAAAATGTCTAAAAACCCATGATTGGGATGTTTGTTATTGACTGGACTGATGCAGCTGAAGGAAGCACAGCTCATTTGGGATTTTGCTGATCCGTCTATTCAGGTAAAAGCAGACAAAGACAGCAGCAACTTGCACCGGCTGCAGCAGGCATCCCGCGGCGTCACACAGGCCACCGCAGCTGTCGTGGCCTCCACCAAGTCCGGGAAATCCCAGATTGAAGAGACAGGTGAGAGGCTTTCGTTGACTGCCCAATTGTCTGGTGAATTAGTAACCGCTTGGTTTCCTTTGAGTTTCAGATCTTTTCAGACTACAACCCTCTGAACCCCAAAACCCGCCGGTGTGTTTAAAAATTGCAAAGTTTGCACAATTTATCAGAGCCAGAAACTGTAAGAACAGAAAGAACTGATGGGTTTTCAACTTTAACTAATAATTTTTGATGACTTAACAAAATATAAGCTTAGAATCACAACATTTCATCAGCATCACTTTAACCCACATGTCATTTAAACATTTGCCAAAAAAATAACCGTTTGCACTAACCAGTTTCTGCAAAAACAAACAAAAAAAACCATTCTGTATTTGGCAGTGCAACTGTGAAGTCCTGAGTGACTCAGCTAAAACCAACAGTCAGTTGACAAAGCTTTAAGGATTTTTCTGCTGAACTGCAGACAGTGTTTACACAGAGCAGATAGGAGACAAGTATAAAAACATATGTAGTGAATCATCTACTGTATGCAGAATCACCACCTTTCTCCAATATCGGTAACCCATGTAGGCACTTGAAAAAATGTTGTTCATGTTGATTCAAATTTTTTTTTCGTAATTTTTTCCAATAAATAATCACAAAAAATTTCAAATTAATTTTTTTTCCTTTTTTTTATGATTTGTGGCATTATAACTTTGTTTTACTGCACAAAAGATATGTTTGAGGTCTCTGTACTTCAAGTCATGGTTGTGCTGTTTCCATAGAGGTGCAGGACTTTATATTACAGGGAAATATGAGCCCAGGGTGAGTAAAAATGTGACAGGAGATAAAAGCACACAGAAACTGTGAGGAGTTCAGAGGGTTAAATTCACAACATTGTTATTTTTATTGTTTTAATAAATGTTTCAGAGTTACAGGTTGTATAATTCTTTGTTTAAGCTGAAAGTGTTTTTCTTTGCCAATTTCCAGATACGATGGATTTCTCCAGCATGACTCTGACTCAGATCAAACGACAAGAGATGGATGCACAGGTAAAAAGCAAAAATATTAACTGTAATCCAACTGCCACCACAGTTGGATGTGATGCATTTTAAAGGTAAAAGTTCCTGTTATCACAT